AGCGACTGGTCGCCCTCGACTTAGAACTCAGAGCCTGTCCAGGGGCGTCGGCCGGCTCTTCCTTCCCCAGTGACGGCATGATGGCCTCTTGGAGCTCGTGATCCTCGACTACGTCCATCCAGCGGATAACAGCCGCACTGCAGCCGTTGTTGGCAGTCGTAAATGCTTCGATGGTCTGATTGGACTTCTTCTTGAAGGCGTTGATGTCGGTGAACTTGTTCGCATTCAGAAGGCGATTCCCTCACATGGTACCCGTGCCATGGAACTGGCGCTTCTGGATCTCTGCTGCAAAACCGATCATCAGGGTCAAGCTTGGTGCTGCTTTGGAAGTGACATACCTACATCCATAATCATCCCGAACCGGTTGAGCCGATGGGTGCGACCAGTTACGGGCTCAGTTACGTCTTTACGGCTCAGTTACGTCAGTTACGGCTCAGACCAGTTACGTCAGGCGGGCTGGGTCAGCATTCTCTTCGTCGCTAGACTCTTCGTTTGTGTCGACGCGAACTTCCGGCGGCTCTAGGACGACGACCGTGACATCGGCGACTCGACTTCGCTCCTCGATGCCATCCAGAACAGGGCTGCGGAGTCGGAGTCGGAGTCGAAGTCGGTCGGAGTCGACAATTCTGACCGGAGTCGGAGTCGGAGTCGATTTTGGAAACCGGAGACGGAGTCGGAGTCAGAATCACCGACAAACCCATCGACTCCGCTGACCTGGCAGGGCTGCTGAGTCGGGAGTCGGAGTTGGAGTCGGTCGGAGTCGATAGTTCTACCCGGAGTCGGAGTCGGAGTCGGAGTCGGAGTCACTGAAAATCCATCGACTCCCGCAGCCCTGATCCAGAACATCGTTCAGGCTCACATTTGCCATCAAACCAAAGCATAAACGGGTTTGATGTTTGGAAAACAAAATGTAACGGATATGCATAGACGTACATTATTGTACGTGCGTTTTTGTGAAACGTACTATTTTTGGATTCGCTTGGTAAGCAAAATTAGCATTATAATGACACCACTCATGAAGTTAGGGTCATGCTTGAGCAGATTGCTGGCAACGAAAGCTAATCCGGGAAAAGCACTTAACTAAAATTAAGAACACTTGGCTCACCCTGGGTCGAGCGTCTGAGCGGGTGAAAATCTTCCCGTTGCGGCATCAACAAACCGAATGTCTTAAACTCAACACTGAATGCATTGGAACCGTGTTTTTTGGTATTCACCTGACGGCTAACAATGTAAATGATTTAGAACGACCGCGTTTGATGGCTCATTAGCTCTATTTCTATAAAGATGGCACACATTGGCCAACTCAAATTGACGTACATTTATGTACGTCTATGCATATATGGGTTAATGTGTAGGGGGATGGGGGGGGGCGGTTGGACCCCCCGCCGTTCGGCCCCTGATCAAGCTAGAGCTTCGCGGAAAAAACGAGGGTGTTGCCCGTGACGAGAGGAAGCCGATGATACCCAATTTTAAGGTCCTAGGTCATTGGTTGACCTTCCAGGTCAGGTCAATATTCCAAAAGTCGGGAAAATCGGGACCTGCTAGAACTGCGTAAAGTGAAGCTGTTATCGGGTTTTTCGGGATGCTGATCACGAATATCTGATGTTAGTTTTGATCACAGATGATTTTTTCATGCATTTAGGCCAGATCGGGTCAGGTCAGGTCAACCATTAGGCGTCCTACCGGCTATCCATAGTAGGTGTCAACTACCACTGACGGCGTCGTAGCATGTTACGAAGGCACTAAAACTACTTCGTAAACGTTCAAATGGATGCTAAATTCGAAATCAGCCCGATAAACTACCCTTGAAACATGTAAAACTCGAAAAAGTGAACCGAGGTCATCAAAGGTCAATAACCTGACCTGACCTTCAGGTGACCTTCACACCCACCGTGATGCATGGAAAGAACATCATTTCACATGTTTGGACGTCTACAATCACAAAAAGACTGGAAACGCGCGGATAATGTGAGCTGACATACACCAAATCGCGATTCCGGCCAAACATGGTCTCACGAATCAGGTCACAGGTCAAAGGTCTTTTGGGTCAGAGTCATGAAATTTTCAGAGTAGGTGTAAAACTGATCATTGATCAACTCGAGGGTACTAAAAGTTTTGTCGCGATTGGCCGCTTTTTGCGCGAGTTGTTTGCGAACAACCATGGGGGGGTTCATCCGACCCCCCTACACATGCGAAGGTCAATGCCCAAATGCACTTATCGGTCGGTACCTTTTCGACATGGTACGAGTACACCCTCAAAGCTCGTAACGAGCCTTCGCTCGGGTGTCGCTCCCTATTCCCCCCCGCTTCACCGGCCATGGCTGGATTTCTGCACCCATGCACCCACAATGTTCCAGCCGCTCCTACGCCCATGGACTCAATGCACTATCACCGACCTTCGGTGATACAAAAGAGGTAATCTCTTCCATAAGATCACCTTCCTACAATTTTAACAAATGTTCCACCCCTCTCGACAGCGCCGCGGCTGTGCGGCCGATTTCCCCGACAGGCCGGTCTCCACTACACACCTCCGGAGGTTACCGGCGCCTTCCTGAGGGACCACACAGTCAACGTGACCTGCGCTGACACCAACCGGACCGGTCAGATCCACTGTTTGGCTCCCGACTGGACCAAACCCAACTTCTGTCGAAGGACGGTGACCGGCAGCGCCCGGCCGCCCACGCAGAAACGTAACGATACGGGGGGGGAGGGGGCGAGGGAGGCATCTGTCGCATAGTTCGACCAGTCAGCCTTTACCTTCCTAATTAGAGTTGGAAATGTGCATGTTGTTGTACAATCTTGCCAAGAGGGCAATTACCCATCCAATCATGTTGGTTTAAAGCTTATGGAGATTCCAAGAGTTCCCTGAGCCATGCCACAACTGAAAAAGCTACACACCAGGCAACGTACCGGAAACGTATAGCGGATAAATTAGTAAATAACTTATAACGTATAAAATGGCAAATAAATTGTAGGTACCTATATCTGACACCGCCTTGTGAGGTATATCGGCACGGTACCAACAGCCCCGGCCTCCCGTTACAGCGCCTGGGGGCCACCTGAGCGCCATCCTGGGCGGTGCTGTCGGGGGCGTCATCGTGTTAGCGCTGACGGCACTCGGCGTCATCCGAGGCAGGAACGGCCACCGCCAGCGCCGCCGGCACAAACAGTTTGTGCCGCCCGTGGACGACAGCTCGGAGTTCCTCGGACTCAACCCGAACCCCATCTACGGCGGGTCCCAGCACGAGGACGAGCATCTGTATAGGTGAGCTCGCCGGGGAGAGGGGTGGTGCTGAGGTATGTACTTTACTGATGGCGTCCAGAATAGGTATCGAACTGTCTGTGATGTTGCAGACCTACCTTGTGGTCTAGAAGTAGAAATGAATGCCATGTCTTTGGGAAGAGATGTTAGATGCTTACCATAGGAGCATAAAACCTTTGAGACCTCAGCTACGATTTATTATCTATCTTACTCTTTTTTCCACAGCGAAGTCAGCAACCCAGACGCCATATACGAGGAATGCTCGTACACGGCCCCCGTCAAACAGCCGTCTCCGGAGCCACCCCCTCCCCCTCCGCTGCCGACCAGCCGACCCAGCGTGGGGTCACTCCCCGACGCCGCCGACGCGCCGTCCACCGACGACATCGACTACGAGGTGTTCCCCATGGAAACAGCGCCCGCTCCCACTGGAGGTGTCCTGACGACCGGCCGAAGCACGACGGCCGCCGGAACATCAGCGCCACCTGCACAGGAGGATCCCGACTACGAGCCTTTCCCCATAGATCCTCAGATGCCCTCAGGGGAATCGAGCAGCGCTACTGGCCTATCTATTTCAGATCCACCCCGGTCGTTCCCAGCCGTGCCCGAGATCTCCCGTCCTCCGACATTGGAATACGCCGTCCCTCTGGTAGGTGGCAAACAGCCGGACGGCCGACAGCTGAACCACAGCTTCAATACCCTGCCGATAGGTGTCGCGCCGGTCGCAGATGAGGCCGAGTACGCTCAGCCTTACCGAGCTTCGCGGGCGGACACTGCACGGAGAAGCATCCCAGACGTGGCTTTGAACGCGATGGGCATGAGCCGGACCGAGAGCGGTTGACTCTACCACAGTCTGTGGGCCCGCCGTGGGCTTCAAAACTGAGATGACAAGACTGGTCGCTGCATGAGCTGCAAGACCGCTGCACAGGTGCGTGATCTACCGGCTGTCCTTATGATCTACAAGACTGATCATGAGTCTTCATGCTTTCCCGCATATCTCGAAAGCGATGCCTCAAACCGTTATTTTGAGTGAAAACAGGGATTCGAGCAGGTTGTTTGGTTGTACTCTTGTTACGCCAGAAGTGCGGATGGGATCGTGAGATAAATCGTTTGACTGCATACTAAGGACAAAGTGAAGGACATGTCCTAACGTGGAACACAATATGCTATACGTTATGCATCGGCCACATTGCTTGTGCATGTCCCTACAGAATGACGCATATGATGTGGAAATGTGCAGATGTAATGCAAAATGTGGATGATTGTTGGCTATGAAATGCTGGGCGGGCTTCGCTCTGTTCATCAGAGCCACAGCCACGCCACACCCGCACAGTCGGGTCCACATCATTCAGTATTGATGATATTGTCACTGTCGAAAATATGCCGTAAGTGAGCATTTGCATTTTTATTTTAATAGTGTTGTTACGTGAACCAGATAATATATTATCTAAGGGCGTAAAAGGCATCGCATATTAAATTGAGAATCGATCACTTAACCGAGAGAAAATAGCTACGAATAAGTTTAAACAGTCGAGACATTCTTCGGATGGTCGGAAAAAGATATGTATGTGATGGAAACAGGAAACATGCCCTCTTCATTACGTTCATTGTTTCAAAGTTTAACAGATATAGGTACTACCGTCCCTGAGAACCGAAAAACTATCACTAACCGCAAAGAAGACCCGCTTTCCCACTCGCCACCCCATCACATTATGCTCAATTCTGATCCCAAGACATGGTGTTTGACAGCTGACGGTATATTGTTTTCGGAAGATGCATACCTATGCAATGGGCACACAGTGACACTAACGACTGAGTCGATCTACGATGTAGAGAATCAATACTGGTAATAGAATGACAGATAATACATCTTCCCCACATTCAAAATATCTATCACTTTTCACCGTACTTCGTCCCGCGTTCCTCCCCTCCCCCCTTGATCGTACATCCATCACGATATCGGATCTAAAATCGTATCAAAACAGCACAATCACACCACGATTTCATCCATGTCTCATTCATTTCAACACTTTCCCGGCAGTAACTCCCCATTGGCACCCATGTATCTAGCTTTCACATCAGCACTCACCCTCCTGCTATCAAGTTCCCACTGTCAGGCTTCTCCTGAAGCATATACCAACCACTCCTCACCATACTCAGCTCTAGGACAGACACTACACCAACAACTCCATCAGCCCCGGGACACCAGCATGGGACACTGGACGTCTCAGTGGCCCCTGACCGCCGCCTGGACGTCGGGATGCTTGTGCGAGCCGTCACAGAAGGGCCGGTGGTCGGTCTGCTTGCACATACAGAACCATACCTCCTTGTCCGCATCCGCCACGTATTTCACCGGCCGCTGTTGGATGGCCTTGAATGGGTTGCGGTGGCTGCCGTCGCACAGGGGCTGCGAACGCGAGTTGCAAGGTCACACAGTGACTGGGCAGTTTTTGGGGCCGCTGCGACTGGTCATCATAGCCCCGGGCAGGCGGGTGTGTGGTGCAGGGAAGGTAAAACTGCATAGGTCTCATGGCTGGTGGAGATGGGAGTCGGGATGGACGCCTGGGCTACAGGACAGGGGCAGCAGAGCCAGTGATGTAATATCTGCCCTGATACCATATTTTGAAAAAATGCGACGAAAAAAGTCATCTAAAATTACCTTTGGAATGCAATACAATAGCTCCAATGCAAATAGTTTCCTACTGTTCAAATGAACAAGTTGCATTCACGACGTCTGAAGCAACCGATTTCACTTGCAAAGGAAAACACGCAAAATGAACAGCTTTGAACATCCTTTCAGATGTGCACGTTTCACGGTACAATACCACTTCATTCAATGCCCGGAAGTCACACACAATCACCGCCTCCCGATAATGTCGTGCGACCAGAACCACCCGACAGCTAGTGGGCCTCGACAGCAGGACAAACAGACCCGCCTGTCCTCTGATATCGGGACAATTGATATCAGCCGTACTGAGACATCCGAGGGACAGCCGACCGACACTGAATACATGCTATTCAGGTTCTTATGCAAAACGTCCACTGAAATTTCGCACACAGTCTTAATTTGTATCGCTTCAATGGCTTAAATCGTGCGTAGGAATAAATATATGCCTCAGCCTTCGTATGAGCGAGTGAGATGCCAAGGCATGTAATAAGGTAAAAACAAACAAAACAACTCAATGACCACAAGCCACTTAGCAATAAATCATATCTATGACTTGTGAACCAAAAAATCTGTTGATTTGTGCATGCAGGATCACTAGGCAATGAGCAATTCAAAGCTCTCACGACAAAATATATGACCGCATGACCCACAATGTGAATTACTCACCTGTTTTCGGCTATGCCCACAGGCACACCACATGTACGTTTTTCCCTTCTTCACTTCAATCATAAATGGTTTCTTATCATAGATTTTCCCCTTCTCTGGAATATCTTGAGCAGTGGTGTACTTGGCGGCGGGATTACTGAATTCCTGCTTTGCCTCTTCCGGAAGACGGAATTTACAAGCAGCAGGAGTGCTCTAAAACATAATAAACTATTTGAGGGTAGGAAATGGTTTAGAATATATAGTAATTTCCTGCTGCATATCAATGTTGCATTGTGAATATCATTAAGGAATATAACATTATAATGCTAACCAGTGAACAACAATTTCCCAAAATGGTGGAAAATTACACGTACAGATATTTTCTCAAATAAAAAGAATTGACTGAAGCATCAATTCATAAAACAAAACAAAAAAAAAACTGTTGCATTATTGGTTACACACACACATTACATGAATGCCAAACGGGAAATAACTTCCAGGCAAGGTGTTGAATGAAAAATTAAATACAGATTACAGAACACATGGGACGTGGCAATTCCCTTGTGTCAAATCCATCCCCCAAGTAGCCACACATAAAAAGAATCTTTAAGAAGAGCCTAGGCTTTTCTGTGAAAGTCTTCATAGCTAAGTTGAAATAGGTACCTAATTTTTGTGGTACCTTATTAACATCCATTGGGCAGGATTTGTATTTAAATCATAAAAGCCTATACAAAACAGTGAAGTACTTACAGAGGAGAGGGAGCGGAGGACCTGAACCATTGCAACTCTGGCAGATAGCATGGTTGAACCTGCAAATTGAGAAATCAGTTAATACCTCCATTTAACCATGACGTGCAGGGGTTAGAGGCGACTCCACTCGCAGTCAGCCGTCAGGTTTTTTGAGAATACCTATCTATTCTAAAAAAACTGAGGACTTCAATGAAATCTACAGCAGCAACTCTAATAAAATGAGCAAATGTAGGTTCTTTAATACCATGGGTCGTGGACCAGCACTTCACTTCAACTTGCCTGCTTTAGGTGTAGGTACTTAACCAATCGGAAAAAAAAAACAATTCAATTGAATTTTATAAATATGATAATTGAATTAGGATAACCAGTAACCACTTAGAATCACTTAGAATGTGTGACAACACAAAGCAACAGCCAAGCTTACAATATGAATAGAAGGCAAAAATAAATAACGCAATCTGCCTTGAATAAACACAGACAGGTAGGTATCAGTATTTGAATTTATAACGTTGTTTTCATAAGTTGTTTTGTAATGCATTTGTTTTACATGAATTTCTGTGGATTAGAATGTGCACATTCATATTATTTTTAATGATGTTATACATATTGACGAATCAGAAGTTTCGTTTGTGAAATTTTAAGGTAAAGTTTTTACTTTAAATACGTTTACCACTTACAGTTAAGCAAATAAATTTAATTAATACACCTGGAAATCAATTATCTTATACAAAGTGACCATAACCCATTGCAACTTTTTCTTGAAGACATTTCGTTGCTTCAACAAGGTAAATTTCTGTGACGTAAAATGAAACATTTACTCACTTCAAAATATTATAAAACCCAGTCACATTGGTATTGGTCGCGTTGTATTTGAAGTATTACAGGCATATTTTATACGCAGATACCTATATTCATTTAAAGAAAAATGTTAATTTTGTACATAAAAACAGGTCAAAATTCATAATATTAGAAGTTTTTGATTGCTACAAAAGCAATTTGTGAAAGTTTAAACGTTAAGCCTCATCTTTAAATGAGCATTGCTAATATTTAAGGCTCTTGAAGAGCAGAAAATGTAAACATTTCGTGCAAGATTTCGTGATTGAATTCAAGTTTCCAGCGTTGGCCTGTTTTCATATTTCGCTAAAAAACGAAAGGTATTATGTTTCGTTACTACTTGTTGAATTTAACCCTCGCCCGTATTGGTGTTTTTCCAGCCGCGAACGTATAAGGGGGGGGGGGGGGGTCCGTTGGACCCCCCCTTGCCGTTTCGCCCCTGATCGAGCTAGAGCTTCGCGGAAAAAACGAGCGTGTTGCCCGTGACGAGAGGAAGCCGATGATACCCAATTTTAAGGTCCTAGGTCATCGGTTGACCTTCCAGGTCAGGTCAATGACCCAAAAGTCGGGGAAATCGGGACCTGTTAGAAAGTCGTAAAGCGTGGCTGCTAATGGGTTTTTCGGGGTGCCGATTACGAATATCATGTTAGTTTTGATCACAGATGATGTCTTCATGCATTTAGGCCAGGTCGGGTCAGGTCAGGTCAGGTCAACCAGCCGGGTATTCCTAGTAGGTGGCAGCCGCCTCTGACAGCTTCGTAACATGTTACGAAGGTGCCAAAACTACTTCGTAAATGTTCATATGGTTGCTTAATTCGAATTCAGCTCCAAAAACTGGCCTAGAAACATGTAAAACTCGAAAAAGTGAACCGAGGTCATCAAAGGTCAATGACCTGACCTGACCTTCCGGTCACCTTGACACCCACCCTAATGCATGGGAGCAACATCATATCCCATGTTTGAACGCTTGAAACCACGAAAAGACTGCAAACGCGCGGCTAATGCGAGCCGACATACGCCGAATCGCGATTCCGGCCAAACATGGTCTCGAAAAGTAGGTCACAGGTCAAAGGTCATTAGGGTCAGGGTCATGAAAATTTCAGGGTAGGTGTAAAATTGATTAACGCGAGGGTACTGAAAGTTTCGTCGCGATCGGCCGCTTTTTACGCGAGTTATTCGCGAAAAACCGAGGGGGGGGGGTCCGTTCGACCCCCCCCCCCCCTATAATAAGAAATCCCCCTATACGGGCGAGGGATAAGCATCATAAAATATGCCTGTTTGTGTTTACTAAGATGTTCGTGATTGATAAGCGTGATGCAGATTGCAGCCTCTAAGTTATTGTCCAGTCCAAGGTATAGAACTCCTCCAGTCTCAGTCTCAGTCTTATATGGCCTTGTTGTCTAGTACCTATTGTGCTAGAGGCCGTGGCTAAACTGATATTGACTTATATCGGAAGGCTCTCTGCTTTTTCTATCATAGTTTTCGGGTTCTATCATAATGTGGTCAGGTCATCCTTTCTGACCATTATTACAATAACCTGTGCGGGGGCTAGTATCCCCACGCACAGGATTAGTTTGCTCCTGTTTGGCGCCTAAAACATACTCATGAATAAGTCATGATGTGTCGTTGCTTGATGAGTTTACCATGTGTCTAAGTCTTAACTCATCATTCATTGCTGACATAAAAATCTGTTGACAATGAGACCATTGATATATAATTATATGCGTTGTTGTAGCCCTGCTGTGAGGTGGATTCATCGACCAGCCGTGTTTGGCCAAACGGCGCGGAGCTGCTGAACTGACAACTGCAGGAGGGTCACCGCGCCAGAACGATGGCGGCACGACTCATAGAGCAAGGTCAGTAGTCAGTACGGAAACGAAATCCAGCGTGACCATATGCATTTTTTCGCATCTTCACCCATCAACTTTGAGTTACGGTAGCAAACACCGATGATATTTTTTAGTGGTAAGTACTAAGTCATTTACATTCATTGTCGTTACCCATCGCTGCAAACTGTATCTATACGAACCCTGCCAGGCTTGACCTGGAGTGGACAAATTTTGTATCTCGTAGCCAGTCCCATTTCTCCTCTCCTCTCCTCCACTCCATAGTTCCCTTTCTTTGACGGGCTCACAGTCTCCCCCTTATCCAGCACTCCGCCTTACACAACCGTGCGTCCGATCCCGGCAGCGTTCGACCAGTACAACAAGTCCCGGCTGCAGTTCGTGCAGACGGTGGCCGACCTGGCCTCGCGACCGCAGAACATGGAGCACCTGCACGACAACAACGTCATGTCGCTGCTGCATCCGCTGCTGATGGACGTGGTGCCGGCCGTGCAGCAGACGGCCGCCCTGGCGCTGGGCAAGCTGGCCAGCTTCAGCCAGCAGCTGGCGCAGACGCTGGTCACCAGCAACATCCTGCCGCAGCTCATCTCGCAGGTGCCCGTCCAAAATGTGAGTCACGTCACGAGGGGTTTGTTTCTTTGGGCTAGGTATCAATGGATGGGCATTGAACATATTTTGTTTGCTGGAGTTGCTTTTGACCTACAGGAATCGCCAGCACGTTAACGGGATACCGACGGATATCGTAGGTTTTAACAGAAAGCTGTTGTGTTACTTGAATGGCTTACGAATAACTGTAACCGCCTGGTGAAACCATGCCGAAACCATGTCGAATGCGTGTGACCCGGCTCAAACTAGCCGCCGATGTACTATCTTACTTTTAAAATTCGTAATTTCCTATCTGACTATCTTACTATCTTACTTTTAAAATGCATTATTTTGCCATGATAGCGCAAAGCGACAACGTCTGGCAAACAAATTACTGTGTGTGTTTCGATAAGAATAAAATGAATTCACTCACGGGGCTGCCATGTTTCTAGGATAAAAGGAATCTTATTTTGGTAGCGGTGACCTTTTGCTCGGCTAAGTCTTTTTCTAGGAACGCGTTTTTGTCCGCTGTAAGCTGACTAGCTTTGGTTCATTTCAGTACCAGGATGTGTCTCAGGTTCTCTAATGGTGTGTTGTACGGTTGTCCGTGGTAACGAACCACTGCTTCGTGAGCCTTTGACGCAACTGGGATTATGACGTGCTAAAATGTTTTTTTTTGTATGATAAATTTAACTGCTATAATTACATTGTAAACCATGCCTGCATTATTTGTACTTCAGATTCGGCTAGCATGCTTTGTTCCGTTCTTTATCCATCAATATCGGATGCCGCAACCAGATATTTCGTTGGACTGTTGTAGTTTCTCCAAATGTTTTCATTTCACCATTCTACGTCACGCAAGTGAATCCAACGCAATCCTGGGAAATATTAATTTTGAAACCAGAAGTCATTTTTCTCTGAATAGGAATACTCAACACCGACTGTTTTTCCGGCTCACCGGGCCACATCCTTCTCACATTCTTAACACGATTCTGAGGAACAGTGTCCTTTCCACGTAACACTGCATTATCGGACGTGTAGTATCCGCCCTCACCCATCATCTTAACCTCACTCATCCTCTTACACCGTTCTGTTTGGCAGCGTTTCTACAAGAAGTCGGCCTGCTTTGTGCTGCGCGCAGTGGCCAAGCACAGTGTCGAACTGGCTCGCACGGTGATTGAGAGCGGCGGCCTGAACGCGCTGGTCGTCTGCCTGGAGGAGTTTGACCCGAACGTCAAGGAGTCGGCGGCGTGGGCGATCGGCTATGTGGCCCGGCACAGCCCCGAACTGGCCCAGAGCGTGGTGGACGCAGGTCAGTGCTGCCGGGAGCGAATGCTGGGAGAAATGCTAAGGACTGCCGGGGGGGGGGGGGGGGGGACATGGGCGGTTTTCTTTGTATCCCCATCGACTGAGGATGGTGATTCTGGTTGATGAAAGTGGCTACCTACTGAGACGATAGTACGAACATTGGACAGGCTACGGACAGAGGGCACTGCTTGACCCGGGTTTGAATGAAACTGAGACCATAGGTGGCGTGGCGATAGCACCTAGAGCCGTGCTCACTGCTCGCCTCCCGAGCCGACCCCCACTGAAGTGAACATCCTCCGCGAATAGTCTGAGGCTCGGCATTATTTGTAACTCGATCACCGAGCAGTTCGGTGTAAGAAGCTGTGTAAGAGAACTAGTCAATTATTGCGTAACTACTGGTCACATTATATAAATCAATTGAATACAGCCATGCGAGGTCGGATGGGATATATGTTACATAGCCAGTCGCGCTCGATAGAAGATCCGATTCCAGCAGGGCCTTCTCTAATGCCGCCTTGGGTATACAAATACAACTCCTCCGTTGCTGCAATCCGGGCTGAATACGGATCCCTTTCTGTAGCGAGCAGATTGGTACACTTGCTCATATTCGGTATCCCTTTCAGCTTATCGCGCCTCCAGCGTGCGGCGCAGAAGGTCAGAATATTCAGTAAAAGTGCTCTCCGCCATGTGGCTGCCCACCGTACGCCTACCCGCGGCTTCGGCGATCAGGAATGGGCTATATGTGTGGTTTTCATCCTGGCAGGTTTGAATTCATTAATCAAGACTTGCATTGCATCCAGCATTGCACGTGTCGGGCTGTTGCCAGAGCATGTGGCGATCAGCATTGGACCATTTGGTTGCAATGCATGGCTCGGCTCATGCATCATTTTGTAGTCGGCTGAGCTCGACTTTCGTTGTGAAACTAAACTATGCTTACTTTAGAGAAGAAAATCATAATATAGATTCCAAGTATCATATGGATGGGGTGTTCGCTCAATGCCCGTAGAGCTTGCCGTTCACATTTGCGTTGCGTGCTAACATTTTATTTTACATTCTCTCTTCTTCTACTCGATATTGACCTGAGATCACAGAACCTGAAGTGACCTCTTTACTGTCCTACAAAAGTCGCCTGCACCCGTTTTCTATTGCGCGTCTGGTCATGCGATTGCGTCTATCTCCGGCCGGCTGTCACCTCTGCCATTTCCACCCCATCTAACCTGCCCCGTCCGCCGCCCCCGGGATAGCGTCCCATGTTGACCGGGCGTCATATCAGCGCGGTTATGGCGCCATGATGGCGTATGATGAGCTCCGGTCACATCGGTACACTGACACTGGCGCAATGCTGCCCCAGGCCATAACCCATGCCTGTCATATCCGGCAGTGAGTCCGCCGGTTCGTCTTGTCCCGTCTTCCAAGGTGTCCTGTGTCGTCCCGTTACATTTCTCGACTCCTCTTTTCGTTTTGGCTCTTCGCCCTTTTCCAGTCATGCCGGATCCCGTACCGGTCTTTGGGATTCATCAGACTTCCGTCCCGTTCTGTCTGTATGTGACCGTCCCATCCCACCTATTTATATGTCCGTCCGTCCATCCGTCCACCTATGGACGGGTGTAATGTGTATCCGGGTGTATGATATCCGTGTGTATAGGCTTCTGTGCCGCCATTATCTGCTGCTGGCTATCATGCCACATAGGTCTGGCTGCGGCCATAATGGCATCGCTGACCCGTTCAGGATCATATGATATGGCGCTGGCCAAGGCCTCATATAGGGGCGCCGGCCGCATGTCTGTGGTGTGACCATACTAGAATGCGGCGATTTTATTTGAATATTTGAACTGCCCTTGACTCGGCGAATTGCGATACTTCCAGTGCAGCTCGTTTTGCTTCCATCGATCGCTGCAACTAATTTCGGATATTGGAAGAAAGTTATTAGTGTTGATGCACTAAAGAAGGCGAATGAAGCGTATAACTTTCCCGTCACGAATTTTATTAGCTAAGCTTCCTTCTGCTTCTGGGCAGTTTTGGTGCTATTTTTGACGATGACTTATTCCGCTATTATTACGGAAGCATTCGTGCGTCATCTCCCCTGCGGCGGCAAGTGTGTTGCCGGGCCACCAGAGTTGGCCGGCGGGCCAATTTCGCACGTGTACAGCTGCTGGCCGACCTGATCACTGTCCGACTGCGTGGCTGGTGATCTACCGCCGTCTCTGTCACCATTAGCAAGTCACATGACTTCCCCGTTCGCCACCTCCTTCACCGTTATCCGCACCACGTGACCGGCTGTTTTGCACAGCTTCGGCTTCCCGTCCCCGATGGCCGACTGCCACCTCGCTGACGTCATAGACCCCCCTGTGACGTCATGCTGGAGACGATGGGGTTCTCGCTGACCGATTTGTCGCGGGCCGCATCCGACGGCTGAGGTGGGGAGGGCGGAGAGGTGGGGGGGGGGGGGGTCGTCTCCGGTGGGTGTAATTCACCCGGGCGGTGTCGTGTCTGAGCCCTGAGGTGCTCTTCTTGGTCCTTTCTATCTCTCCAAGAGAAGCATATGCTCAGGGTGGATCTGTGTGGATGAGCTGAGGGATCATCAGACTGCTGACCGCTGCTCTGCGGTTGTTGGAGCAGTGCTCGCTGCTCACAACAAGCAGATATCAAAGCTATGAATCGTTGGGGGCTGAGACATCAAAGCTCGTGATCGAAGGAGCTGATAAATGGTCTTGCTGCGCGATTTTGTTCTTGTTCATAGATTTCTGAGCATTGACGTCAACGACTGAACCGTCAGCTTCGAGATAAACTCCCTATTTTCTTCGGATATGACGTTCGCAAATGTTTTCTTTTTCCGCAGTCATTAGACATGCTGCCGGTGAATCATCACCCGATAAAAGTCACTTACACGCTATAGTCAGTCACTTCAGTCACTTAGGTATCAATTCCATTAACATTAGCCCTCCTCCATTATCATGAGTCCTCATGTCTCCGTCCTCCGCGCCTGGCCCGGCCTTTGGCAGTATTTGGCTCCAGCGCCGGTGGCACCGCGCCGCCGGCCGCGGTGGCTGCCGGATGCAGATTCGCTGATGACGGATCGTTACTGTGATGACGTCATTGGGGTGGCGAATTAATCCAGTCGGCTGGTCCTGACAGGGGTGTCACTGCCGGTCCGTCCAGGCCAAACAGCGGTCTGGAGGCTGGGACGCAGGGAGGTGTTTTTGAGAGAGATAGGGGTGACCCGACTACCCGCTATATGGGTGGCTTGGGTAGATGGAGAGCTGATGAGGTGTTACGCGGACATGTATGGCTTATTTTTGCTATAATAGGGTGAGGTCCTTAGATCGGATGCCTGCTAAAGCGCCATGTGATGAACAACTTATACACAGAAACCATGCAGTAATAGGCTGTTCTGTGGCAATTATTCTGGCTTTTTTCAACTAGTCCACAATGCAAAGACTTGTGTAAGCTAAGATAATCACTGTTCACCATCTACACGCAGTTGGGCTTCTAATTACATCCTCCCCTTTCCAACCAGAATTAGCCTCGGCGACAAAGCTTGGAAGTTGTTGTTGTTGTTGTTGTTTTCCCCGGAGTCCACCGGTGGTACATATATTTAATCATCAACGAAAGAAGCACTTGAGATCAGCATCGGGAGATTGAGTGAAACGTGAATCAATAAATGGCGCTGCATGGGGCTAAAGGTGAGGATAGGATTTGTTTAACAGTTAGAATTGATTAGAAGAATGCAGAAGATTAGTGGTTAGAAGGTTGGGAGGCAGCACCATTTATGATACGATCACAGAAACACAGGACTACAGAGGCCACCATCCATCTCGAACTGGGTTTGTCGCAGTTCTCCACCGCAGTCAAGACTGGAAGGCCCGGGAAGGGCGGCGCACATCAACAAAGCGACGAGAGCGACATCTATAGGCTGGTGTCAGTCAACCGCAGAGCGTGAGAGAGGGTTACACGTGTGCAGAATCAGCACTACCTGTCAGGCCAATTCGCACACAGAGTAGCGCAGCCGCGGGACCGCTCCATCAGCGATAACAGCGCCACCTACAAAATCCGGAGTCACATGTTGGACCAGCTCGCAGACTGAGCGCCAGGTCGCGAGCAGGTTTAGCTCAGCTGCGACAACGGCGTCCGCCGCAGACAGGTTCAGCGCCATCTGTTGTTCCGACTTGTAGCTAGAAGTTGCCTTCAGTCACTGCAGCACAAACAGGTTGACACTGGAGAACAGAGCCGACCTGCAGATAAAGTTGCCTTCAGTCGCTGCAGACCTCCCGGTGTCACAGGCAAACAGTCCTTAGCCATGAGTGAGAGGCCTTAATCAGGGCGGTCAACACTAGACTGACATGGCGCACAGTCTCTGACGAACAGTGCAGCCCGCTGAGGTAGATCTATCGGAAATATCACTCCTTCCGCTGCACGGGCGAAGCATCTCCGCGGGCGGCCCGGAGACCAGGCGACCAGTCAGTCGTAGCGGAACTATTATTGAGTGCACCAACACCAGTGACGTCGGTTTTCGCAGGAAACTCTAGATGAAGCGCATCCAGGCAGGTGACGCCGTGAACTGGTGCGGCTGGCCGCCGCCAGCGCAGCATACCGCATGGTCTTCAGACCTCCCCACTCTCCCACCGAACCGACCGTTGGCCCACGATCCTGTTCCCTCCTCCGACCTCTGCAGAGCATTTGCCGCTCCCCGGCCTCTACCGAAACCACCGCCAGAGAGCGGATCTGGACAGGGCCAGCGTGCGTACAAAATGGTCCCGAGGCCATTCGCTGGTCGGCGAGGGTAGCACCACGCCTCTTCATATCTGGAGTTTGCTTGCAGCACATGCGTTGGTAATCCAGTGGTCCAGGGTGACCAGACTGCAGGGCGGCAGCACAGACTGCAGGGCGGCAGTACAGACCGCAGGGCGGCAGTACAGACCGCAGGGCGGCAGTACAGACTGCAGGGCGGCAGTACAGACCGCAGGGCGGCAGTACAGACCGCAGGGCGGCAGTACAGACTGCAGGGCGGCAGTACAGACCGCAGGGCGGCAGTACAGACTGCAGGGCGGCAGTACAGACTGCAGGGCGGCAGTACAGACTGCAGCCGCAGTATCCGGCTGAATCCAGCGAGCCCAGGAGCGGTCCACCGAAGAAGCTGAAGAGGTCTTCAGAAGAGACGGACATCGTCAGCATATATCCTGGGTGTCCCGACAATGCCGCCTCGCCGTCCCCAGCAGCCGAGCGATGTCAGGCCACAGGGCCACTGGGCCACTGAGCTCATCGTGGGACCATCGAGTCAGAGCGCGGAGCTGGTGCTGGAAGGAAGGAGAATAGGAGATAAAGAGCAGAAAGCAACGGGGAGCAGAGAGTGAAGTAATCAATCAAATGGCCACTGAACAGCAGAATGTGATCATTTTGAGAAGATATCAAACGGCAGAAGAAGCATACCGTGGAGCGTTCTACTGAATTTAAAACAATGGATAGATTACATACATAGAGTGGTTAGGTTCCCAAATGCTTCTGAATGATCAGCATCATGAGGTGTGGTAAAGGTTACATGGTTTCCCGTGGCCACACCTCATGACGCGTTGAATTTCATTGATCAAATATAGACTGGTGACGAGAACGAATAAGTAAGTGAACTAGAAAAAACAACAAAAAATAAAACAACAACAAAAAGAAAAGAAATACCTAATACTGATAATACAGCTATAATATCCCACTGCCACACACTGAAACACTATCCTAACAAAACATGGTAGGAACTACATATGGAAGGATCGCCAATCCGTCAGCAAAATCATTGTCCTTATCCTGCTAATGAGAGGTGCCCACACCGTGGGCGAAGATACAGTTTATTTATGTTTTTTCCTCAATTATATATGATAAACACACATGATAAAATATAACACAAAAATCAATACACAGGTTAGTAGGTGTCCAAAAACAGTATTTTTACACACTTCTTGAAAAGACCCTTTGAACGGGGAATGTCATTGATGTTAGGTATCTTAGGAGTAATCAAATTATTCCATAGGGAGGGACCACTGCAAAATAGCACAAACTGGCGATAGTTTGTGATTCTGTAATTTGGTATTTCTGTTCCACTGCTGTTCAAAATTGATTCACTAAAGTGAATAACTCTTCTGGTTGGTCGGTTCCCATCAAATAATGTAAATTTTGCAATGGGATGAGGGAGACGTTCATGTAGGAAATCATGCATGATTAGAAGTGATTGATATTTCACAAGGTCGGTGACCTTAAGAATTTTGAGTTCTTTGAATAGTTGTGTAGTGTGCGAAAGCAGGCGGGAGCCTGATATTAATCGGACTGCTCTCTTCTGAACCGTGACCAGGGGTTTCAGAGTAGTCTCGTAGTTTGAGCCCCAAATAACAGCACAATAGGTTAAGTGAGGCAAAATCAAAGCATTATACAGTAAGAGAAGAAGTTTTTTGTTAAGGTAGTAGCTAGATCTAGCTAACACGCCAAGAATGCGACTACATACACTAGTGATTTTAGTGATATGTGATTTAAACTTTAGGTCTTCGTCGATCAAGAGACCAAGGTATTTGACGGTGGGCGCGCGTTTCAAAAATGTGTTATTTGTGGGAATATTTAGTTCGATTGACTTGTCCGTTAGAAAAAGCTGGTAGAAGGTTTTAGAAATAAAGTAAACTGTTAGTAAACTGTTACTGTTACTGAAGTAAACTGTTAGGTGCAAATGCATGAACAGTTGTGGGGACAGTTATGTAACGAACTGTTCAAACTTTTTGCTTTTCTGATTCAGATTGTTGCCGATATAACCAGTCAGTTTCGTTACGTAACGAATGGTCAGATCAATAGCAATTTGCGCCTCCAATCCCTCTGGGCTCTGATCTGTCTTCAGGGCGCACAAATCCTTTCCTCCACGCCTCACACCCGGCTGGACGGCTACCTTCATCCGGCGCGAGTATAGCTCCTCGGGAGCAGGCTCACGTACAGCGGGGTGACCGCTTGCGGGGCTGGGTGACCTGTCCAGTGTCCATGCGACGGCCTCAGTCCCGGCGACGCATGCAAAGTGGCCGTCCAGGGCGCTGTTCGGTCGCGTTTTTTATCAGCAGGCTGCGAGCATGCTGCTGAGTCTTGGCTCCTCATTGGCCAAATTCACGTGGCCTAATGAGAGGCCAAGAAGCGCCAGCAATAACTTCCTTATGTGGGAAAACCGACAGCATGCTGATAAAAACAGCAACCGAACAGAGCTCAGATCAATCCCCCCTCATTCGTATCATCCTTCCGACTCTGAAATTGTCTCGCTAGAGCGATGGGACCGAAACCAGCAAAAGAAAAGCAAACAAAGAATCTGCGCCATTTTCTCTCAAGCTGGTCACACAGTTTGCTGTTCTAGTTCTTCATCGCGGTATCTTTTTCAGTACCTAAGTAAACCCGAACCGATGCAATGGTGCAAACGCGGCAGTGTGAGCAACCCACCCCGCTCCCTTCTATGCATGTATATCCCACCGGAACAGTGCTGAACCGTCACCGTTCAATCACGGCAGACTGTGTGACCCAGATCGCCCAGTCGACTGCGTAGACGGATGGACGTCCGTCCCCTACGGCTGTCTTCTAGGTCAGAGCAGCCAGACGATGCCGCCCCGAGGGGCCGCTCAGATGACCTCTGTCGTGTTATTGATCCCGAGATGTTGACTCGGGATCTGCTCATTATCGCGATGCATTTGACACGCGCGATGGATATGTGCATATATCAGAGACGGATGCAAACGCAGGGCTGACACGTGAGCCCGATGATGTCACGTGCGTCCGCATGTGGCGTATATGTTAAAACGTATGCGTTACTACATACATATATTCGTAACTGGGTATATTTGTTGCTTGATGCCGACCAATGTAGCTTGTGGAATGTATAACTCCAGGGGAATGATATGCATTACATACAGGAACTGGATCTTTTTCTGTCGCATGCGAATTGCCAAACTCCCTTAGCTCGCGGACCGGCATACCATCTGACCTTCCTATGGCCAGCTCCTCAGTGGTCGGCGGTCTGCTGACGTCATTCAGTCGTATTTATGACCGACCTACATGGATGAGGCACGGTCGGTACGCTCCCGATGGGTCGAACGACCTTTCGACGCCACCAGACGGTCGGTAGAACCCTAGAGAGGGTTTGGTATACTACCGGCGCACACGTGCGACCTTTTTACCTAGTCGTCGACTCCTTCCCCGGCTCTAGCCCCCCCCCCCTCCGCGCTCGGGCCGTCGCCGTCGCTGCTGCAATTTCAGCGCCACTGCTGTACATTTGTTTGGGGCTTTATTGTTCGGCCCGCGACCGGTACTTTCCGGAGACAGCCGGAAGTCACCGGGTTCCGGTGGCCGAAGGAATTTAAACCGACCGTGGCCAAATGAACTGGTAATTTGTGAGGCGACAGTGGTTCTTGGTAAAGTGAATCAAATTGCGGTCGCACCCGGTACCACCATTCAAAACTTGGTTGGACTGCGTGCGAGTTCGAGACAAAGTTATCGGTACTTGTGCATTGTACAATGTAATAAAATGGTGTGTGTGTGGCAGTAATATTAGCCTGTTAGTATCGTTATATACCTCCGCCCACAGCAACATGGGTGAATGCGCTTGAGAACACTTTTTTGGAGTTGAAACATAAACACGCAAAGTTCTGGTCAACTTGACAGAACTTTGCTGAAATCAAGAAGACAGCCTTGCTTGCCAGAACCAACAAACATCGTTAAGTGGCTGCCGTCAACTGTTGGCCAGAGCATGAACCATTTCTCAACTCACGACTCATATTCCATCTCTTCCATCCCTGTCCGGACTCCGTTACCTTCCCAGTTCACTCCATCGCATTCCATTTTCATTCGCGCTGCACTGGGGGCGTTTGAGCCCAGCGAACAATCATCAGCGGAGGCCATTGAGAGTCATCTGAAGAGGGGCGGTGTTTTGCAGCAGCATCTCGGAGTCCGTTTTGTCTCCCGTCTCCGCCGCCCACCGCGCGCTCCGCATTCACATATACCGGGAGCGGATGCGGGACGGTTTTAGAACGGCGCCAGTGGTGGCAGTTAAACGGCCGGGCCCATAGGAATAAAACTGGAGAGATATATTGAGCCAGCCTGAGCGCCACTGGCCGTCTGGGGAATGTGACCCCAACGGGGCCGTTGCAATGTGGCGTTTCGCTGTTCTATGTTTAGCCGAATGGTTTCCATATATTAGTTGGGCTTAGTTTGGAATGCCGGCATATGCAAAACTGGGTGGTGCCGAAAGGAAAGTTCTTCGACATTGGGTGCTTTCTAAATGAAATACGGCTCGCTTTGAGAGCCATTTAACGTTAGCTCGCAATATTTTTCTTTGAAGACATAATTTTACGAATGTCTGCACTCAACATTATTAAGAAGGTACACAACGATTTACCGCTGTCGTTCTTTTTCGCAACAGATTTTAAACTCTTTTTTTTTTAGAGTAGTTACTGCAGTTATAATATATCATAATGTAGGTATTCGAGCAAAAGAAACCTCCGTTTCGAAGCATTTGGCATGCTCAAAGGATCCTCACTTCTATGATTTGCGGACACCATTATGCGCCACTTCCTACCTAACCCATCCCGTCCTTCCTCCCCAGGCGCCGTGCCGCTGCTGGTTCTCTGTATCAAAGAGCCGGAGATTGGCGTGAAGCGGGTGGCTGCCTCAGCTCTGAGTGACATCTGCAAACACTCGGAGGAGCTGACCCACGTGGTGGTCGAGAATGGTGCCATCTCCAACTTTGCCGCTCTCATCTCCTCACCAGACACCAAACTCAAGGTCTGTGGCGGGACCAGGCTCCGTCGAGGTCTACTTGTGTGTTTGTTTGCTCGATGGAAGAAAGGTTCCGACTCAAGATGAAAATGTTCAGGGGGTAAAGCTTAGCTTGCTCGATAGGTGACTGTTGATAGTTTTATACAATCAGTATCGATGGCTGGTCTTTTCGAGCCTGGCTATAGGGCGACGATTATAATGGTTATGTTGATAACCGATTCAAAAATTTGTTCACTACTATCTTGACGGCTCAGTACTGCAGTCCATTCCCAGACGTTTATCGTTTATGTAAGGAGTATCGTTGCCGTGATGCATATGTTGCTACTTGCTTTGTAACTGAACGGAACTACAGTAATTTTGTAGTGGGCTGAAGTCAAACCAAATACTGACAACTATCTATTAGGCACCAAACATTTGCGAACTCATGCACTACCGAAAAATGTCAGCAGGCTACCTTCCTGTGTACATTGGCTATCAGTTTTAAATCCTATCCAAACTAAGCCAGACTGACCCATTCATTAGGCTGTGTGACGTGCTCCGAAACACATGGCAGCGCTCACAATTCACATCGATCGCACTATGTCGTCGAAACGTTCGATTAATCACCAGGCCGTCAAAATGCCTCCAATTCTTTGTGTTTGCTCTCTTTTGTGCTGGGGGCTTCATTTCATCGTCGGCCGCCGACGGTCCAATCATGAAGAGCCGCCGTCGTTGGGGTTACTAGACGGCCCAGCAACCGCCTCCAGCTATTAATATACCCCTTATGAGAGCACGTTTGTCAGTGTCTGAAGGCAGCAGCTGCGGCTAGTCTCTAACCGGGCTCATAGCGGGGATTGGCTCGGTCAGGACTCTACATATATGTCGAGCCGCTGTCTGGGTCGGGCTGACAATCGCCCCCACTTTGACACACATGGAGGATGTTCAGGCCAAATTGAGCATATGGTAACCGTTTGAGTGGCTTGCAGTATGTGCCATCTCTATTCTAAAGGGTTGGGCTCAGTCACTGTGGTGCTCTAAGTCAGCGAACTGCTCAGCGCCTCAGCCTACTGTCTCCTTCCTCGTATCCTCTTATTTCAGGGCTCCGAAAGAATTTACCCTAAGGAAACAAACAAAAACAAACAACCGATTACCCGTAATGCTCAAAGCACTCGAATCCCCTCCGCATTTTAAGCACGTCTGACGTCTTACAACTCCTACCCCACTCTCTCCGGCAGCGTCAGATTCTATCTGCCCTCTCCAACATCGCCAAGCACACGCTGGCACTGGCCGAGCTGGTGGTCGAGGCCGAGATCTTCCCAGACGTGTTCTCCGGCCTGCAAGACGCCGACGACCTGATCCGACGTAACACGGCCGGACTCATCAAGGAGATTGTGAAGCACACGCCGGAGGTGAGACTGGTTGTCGTTTTGGAGACGGAGGGCGGAGGGTTTGACGGCTGGAGGGGGGGGGGGGGGGTGGAGCGACGGAAATTAGATGTCCATTGACTCATGACTGTGCCATACAGATGAGGGCTTTTGATGCTTAAATATGTCCAGTGGCGGCGTAACACCTTCAATTGAGGGGGGGGGGGTCACTGCCGACTTTTGGCCTCATTCTTTCCATGCAACGCCCATAGGGCTAATGTTAAAATGACCAAATCAAATTGGGGTACGGTGCCACCCCCCTTCCGCCGCCTATGCTTATGTCATCTGCTTTAACTGCCCACTATTGCTGAAATGAAATAATTGTTTGTGACGTCACGCCGTCAGCGCTACGAATCTCCCGCAATAGCCAAATCCTAAGGACTGTTCCTTCAAGTGCCTCATTGGTCATAGGTCACTCCGTGTCCGTCCTTCTACCTTTATCAAACCCGTAGACCCTGACGTATTCTGATTTAGCCAAGCGTTTTAGCAGCTGCCAGCAGGCAGCAGAGCGGCAGGACCTTATGAACACTCAGCCCTGCGGTTGACATTCTGACGCTTATGATCGCCCGGCTGAATTAGTGTTGGAATTAGCTGCGGTGGGGCGCGGCGGATGGTCACAGATGAGTATCGGATTCGTGGCGTAGTTACGGAGCTTCGTTTCATTAGGGTATTAAGCGATCCAATTACGTTATCCGACGGAAATTAGGGTTAAATCAGAAGAACACTGGTCCGGCTGTGACGTCAATATGAGAACGCTGTGATGATTTGATGAGTGGCTTAGATACGGATCGATTACGACTTCAAAGAAATGGGATCTACTGGAGGATCAACAATGAACATTGCGTTGCGTCAAGAAAAACAAATTACGACGTGCAAATTACAATCATCTTGCCTCCGCTTACTTACCCAAACTTCATTTTTCAATGCAAAACAATAAATATCAAACGTTGATGTAGTTCTTGATCAAACGTTGATATTAATTGTGTCAAATGTCTTAAGGCTGAAACAGACTTTTCGCGTTCAGGAAATCGCATGCGAGAGCCTATTCAAATACATTGTAATTCTTCTCGCGTCAATCGCTTGCGGAAGGTGCGTGCGATTGATGCGAGCGTGCTTCCATATATTTGAATAGGCTCTCGCATGCAATTTCTTGACTGCGGAAAGAGTCTGTTTCAGGCTTTAGTCAGGAGAGTTACCCTCGCATGACTTCCTCAGTGTACATATGCTCCTAATGCGATTGTGAAAAAAAACAACACAATAGAGCTAAAAGTAACGGATATTATTGGGAAAATGGGTTGTGGGATATCCCTGAAGCCAAAAACCCATTTGGCACTCAGGCTCCCTCCCCTTCACCATCCCTCATTAACCACCCTCATCCCGTTCCTGCCCACAGCTGGCGCAGCTCATTGTCAATGCCGGCGGCATGGCGTCGATCGTCGACTACCTGGGCCGCTCCGAGGGCCACGTGGCGCTACCGGGCGTCATGGCACTCGGCTTCACGGCCGCCCACTCACAGCAGCTGGCCATGTCGGTCATCGTGTCACGGGTAAGGCGCTGTTCACATCGTGTCACGGGTAAGGTTTTGTCCAGGTCGTGAGGCGCTGTTCTCCGTGTCACGGGTAAGGCGCTGTTCATCTGTTCATCGTGTCACGAATAAGGCGGTGTTCATCGTGTCATGGATAAGGTAGCGCACTGTTTGTCGTCTCACGGGTAAGACGCTGGCTGTTTATCGTCGCACGGGTAAGGCGCTGTTCATCGTGTCACGAAAAGGCGGTGCGTTCATCGTGTCACGGGTAGGAAGCTGTTCATCGTGTCACGGGTAAGGCTCTGTTCACTGTGTCATGGGTAACGCGCTGTGGACAGTGCCTTTCATAGGCGACAGGCGTGGCGTCTCTCAACCATTCGCCCCAGTTCTCCCCTGTCCGTCCGAGCCTAAAACGTCCCGCATGTTCCCTGAATGGCCGCATGGGTCGTCAAACGGGGCCACATTGGGCATGGGAATAGACCACACTGGGCGGGGACGGCCGTCTGAGAGTCCAACAGAGGACGGGATGGCGCTTAGTGACCGCGGCTGTGGTAAATGTGCTTCACTGACGACATCGGTGATGGCCGTGGTGCCTAGTTCTGCTGGGACCGCCTGAACCATGCTGTCCTAAACCTAGACTGCTCACTAGGCCGGACCCGCATGTGTAGACGTCCCTCCCGGATGTGAGCCCTCAGCTTTTGGGGAGGTGTCGGACGGATTAGCCGGCGGCTCACGGCGGTGCGTCGACCGGGCGCCGTTACTGTCACAGTGCACTTAAACAATCGACTATCAAGTACCTACCGCCGACTGAGTCACACTGACGACTGAAGCGCTCTGCGGTCGGATCAGACCCTTGAAAACTAAATTTGGGTAGGCTGCAGTTGACATATTTCGAAAGAATGACGCATATGACTGTTATTTTAGAACATGAGTGGGACGTAGGGCGTAGGTGTACGCGTTTGGTCAGTTAATGAACTCATAACTTTTTACATGCATCAGTCTTCATTTGCTCCGTTTGATTGTCTGAAATTGTGCGACTGTTTTGAGTCGTCTGCGACGCAGAACATTTTATTCTTCCTGCAACTGACAGCGTTCTGCAGCTAAAAGAAGACACAGATGGTGATTGGTAGTTTCCGAAGGCCGAATTCGATTCCGCGGACAAGTTATCCATACTAATGCATCCTCATTGGCTAGAGATTCCTTTGGGCATTGACGTCAGCCAATGCAGACGGAAATGTCGTCCTTATTATTCGATTTGTCACAGACAATCCTGAGCTTCTTCTTATAATGACCAATCGTGTCGGGTTTTGGCATGCATAGAAACAGGAATTGGTTATATGACCTGATGGCATGGCGTCGTCATGTAAAGCGAGGAAGACACGGTCATCTCGGCGGACTAAGAAAAATTGTGGTCGTATATATGCGTCGCGGTGGTGTGGCATTTGGATCTATCACAGCTTAAAGTCGCCTTTGGGTGGAGATGGACTTGATCGATCAAACCAAGTCGTTTGGTTTTGATAGCCTATAATAAATTACAATTAATTTCTATTGGAGAGCCAAGTTTGCCTATTTCTTCGGCCGCGCCACAATAAATTTGGGATGGAGTTTTAGTTTTCTATAGGAATCATATTTTGGGGTTGATTGGATGTCACACCACATATTTTGCAGTTTTTTATTCTCAAATTTTACCAGTAAATCATTGTAACTTGGCTCACCATTGCCTCACCATTGTTCTTATTTTGCACTCTTTGAATATTTTTGAATGCTTATTTCGTCCGTGCGTCACACGGTCCCCTGCACTTGACCCGGGCGGAAGCCGCAGAGGTGCTCCTCACGCCGCCGGGGAGGGCGGGACAAGTTCCACCGGGCCAGCTGGGACACCGGACGGCCGCTCTCTGGCTTCACCGGATTGGGACGCGTCTTACCGGGACTGCCAGCGGGTGTAGGACGGGGACAGGTGTCATATGGAACTGAGCGTTTCGAGTATTAGGTTAGTTAAACTTAAATACCTGTTGAGAGGTTCATCTATTGCGGCTACAAGCATTTGGGCTGCGTATGAAAATAATTCCAATCCCTCATGCTCGATTATAATTTGATATTTATTTGCCTTTTTCCGACCAAATTCATCAGCAAGAAGATGCCGTTTTCTATTCCAACCCGCTATCCAGTAACACTCACTTGCACTAGGTTATATAACGGATACAGTACACTGATCGGAATCATTTCATAGCCTGACCAATGAAATATGAGACCAGTGAAATATGAAACCATCCGCTATAATGACGATGCACGCCGCCACTCTTCCACCGTCTCCCCCCCCCCCCCCCCGCCCGCCTATTGGCAAGGCGCTGCGGCTCAACAGTTGTTGCGCAAGTTCTGGATGAATTAACAGCTCCGGAATCCCAATTTCATGACATCTGGAGGTGTTGAGACAGATGAGGACAACTTGATGAGTTTTACAGTGTTATGCAACGACAACTAAGACAGAAGATCAGACAAAGTGAGCTTTGGGGGCTGATGCTGAGGAATCGACTGAGCGGAAGGATGCTGACCATTGACTTGTGATATTGCTTTCCTTGCCATGGCCTGGACAGGCAGCAATTGCGATGAAGTGAACTCTGAACAGCGGGCCAATTTCATGGATATTTCGTCTTGCTTATTGATCTCCAATGCGGTTTTCTGAGAATCCTTGTGAGCGTGAAATGCAATTTACATAATGAAGGTAAATGTTACGAATGATTTTGCTTTGGTGACTTGGCGGCAGGTTTACTTCAAAGGACCGCCGCAAAGCATCCTTAAATTAACATGTCACGCGTAATGCTTCACTTCTGCGTACTGCTGTGCAACTGCATCATTACCATTTTAATTTTTCATCGATGTTCGTTGCAGCGTTGCCTGCAATAAATTGTATCAATCATTTTATTGGTTTCACTCAGCAGTAGCGGCCAGTCGTTTGTTTTCCATCTAGGACGATTATTAACTTTCGACAAGCTCGATGTCTGAAATTTAGCGAGCGTCGTGATTGATTCGATCTCATCTCCGCTCTAATGCCAGAAGTGACACTAACAAACGCAATGATTCTGCACTGCGCTGCCGCCGCCGGTGACTGCCAATGGGGCGTAATATCGGCCTTGGCGCAGAGTTTAGTGGCGAAAGTTTGATGTGTTTCACAGATGAGGGTCGATTTGCTGACGATTGACGTCAGCAGCGCTCGTTCGCAATCGGAGCGGCTCTGAGTGCTGGCCGAGCGCCGACCGTTTACGCGCTATGAGCAGACAGATAGGGCGTGTAACTAGTGAACCCGTCAGGCAGCCTCAGCTCTTGCTTCACTCTCTCCTAGCAAGAAGCAACTGATCTACTGCTGGGTGATAAATAAAGCTGCTGAAGAATTGCTGGAAGCTCTTCTTTCACTGACCGCTGTCTGTTTTATGTTTCGCAGGGCGTTGTCCAGCTGGCCATCTGCCTCAATGAGGAGAAGGACGACCACATTCGCGGCGCGGCTGTCTGGGCTCTGGGGCAGATCGGACGCCATACGCCCGAGCACGCCAAAGCCATCGCGATGGCCAACCTCTTTCCGAAACTGCTCGAGGTAAGCGCGAGTGTGTGGCGCTACATGACCTGTTACGCTAGTCGCTATGCTGAAGGTGCTTATCTGATATCTCTCGACGATCTTCAGGACTCGCATTTTCTTAAAACCCACGCTTCCGAGCTGGACGGTCACCATTTTTCGGCGTGAGGACTTCCTCAGATGCAAGCTTCCGTGCGGCGTGTGACCGTTAGCGCGGCTGGCTGGCCTATTCCTTGGCATTGGTTCCGTCATGGTGGCGCACCTCGTGGTAGACGATTCAATAATGGCAGCCTGGGGAGAGCAACGTTTGCTCATCTGCCTGTACTGCTGTTTGTTCAGACAGAAATGAGCTGCTGCGCGAGTATTTTCAGACCAAGCCGACGAATCTATTTTTAGCTTATGGAGACACACGATTGATCACATCCGGGATATGACGCTGGGCAGCCGCCAACACCATATTTGGAAAACAATCTATCGTAATATTTCCACGAGTTCATCACCATTCCATTTACGTAGCCTGCATCTATTGCTATGCAATTTTCTATGCCTTGGTCTCCGTTCTATTTACGTGCCCTGCACCACCGAATGTCTATTTATATGCTATTTTCCGCGCCTCGGTCTCCGTTCCATTTTCGTACCCTGCACGACCCAAGACATTCTATTCCTGTGTGCCTAATCTTGCCATGCCCTGATCTTAGGTCCATTTATGTACCTCGCATTGCTCAAATGCTCGCTCTTTTGATATTTCCACATCTCGGTCACACTGTGCTCCATGTAGGTACTAATTGCACGTGTCCTACATAACTCAAAAATCCATCTATTCGCCATAACCTGCTCTATGTCGTGGATCCACGTGACGCACAACCCTATGAGCGACGGTCAAGGCTCCCCGTGTCACCAGCCGCTCCCTGGCGGGTCATCAGGGGTCAGCGGTCTGTCAGACCGACCTCGATGTCAACCAGGCCGCGTCTCCGGGGCCCGGGCGACCCACAAACGGTGACGCTGCAGTTATAAAAGAGCTATTGCAGGAAAGCCCGGCCCTGGGTAGTGGTCACGGTGGCGACCTCAATTGAGCGGCGAGTTTGGATAGCGTGCTGTAAAATTGTTGGACAAACGGTGGGGTTGTTTTCGATTGTTGATTCAGTTGTTTCCTTCCTGGTCCACAAAAGAATGGTAACTGGCTACCACAAAGCTGGTAGACCTCAAGGCCATATAGAGGTCACTTTGAATTGAAGCCGCTGGGTTCTTTGTAAGATGATCTTGGGTTGTTTTTGTTGTCATAAAATATGAAGTTACTCCTACATTAGTTGGTTGTCGGTTTTGTACGGGATGGCTGAAAATGATTGATGTGCAGAACAATTTAGCTTACTTGGACCCTTTTCCTCCAACAGAATTTAGATACATTGAAACAAATATGGTTCCAACTTAGAAGCATCACCTGATTTCTTATCAATGAGCTTTATGCACATCATTCTCAACTTGTAACTCAGAGTGCCTAAACGAAGAATCTGTTGCATTGCGGATTTGTGGCCGCTGCTATAATTGGTGGTAATTTAACAACTGCCTTTAATTATTTGCCTCATTTCCAATGGCTCATCTCTGTTGCAGCGACAAAGTCAAGTTGAAGCATTATCTTTGAGACGCTTTTAGGGCGTAGAGGTAGATGGCCGGGCATGTGAGTTTTGGCCTCTCGTATTCAGAAACCTCGTCATTACCACTATTCACTAACGCACTAGGGATTGATAAGCATTACGGGCTCCACAATGCCTAATAATTCTGGCTAATGCCGGGACTTTCTGCCATCCCACCGCAGACACTTCTCTCAAAGGCTCTTGATGCCTCGGGGACTCCCATACTCTGAGAACCACTTTATCGTAAGGACGGCCGCATACAAATCCGCTCATATCCCCTGAGACCTGTCCGCACACACTTTGGGTCTGAGCGCCGAGACACCGTTGACGGCCGGGTATTTCCCTATAATCACCCACGCATGGTAGCTTATCAGTCAGTAGCACCTACCTTGCATTGTCCTTGCTGGATGACGGGCGTCCGTGCGTGGGCTGAAGTGGATCACCCGGGCGCTCGGATATTGACCGAGAGGATATCCGAAGCTGTGACAAGTAATCCCGAGTTGCGAAATTGTATACATTATGGCCGCTGATAGCTCTTCGCCTTCGGGCGCCCGAATAGCTGCCTCGGCCAGGAGAAGTGATCATGAATAAGAGATTCTGATGTCAAGTGGTTATGTGACTTTCCAGACTGATGCATGATAGCGAATGGAATGACGACACCATATTATGTAACCTATTTCATTATTCATGGCATGATCAATGCAAATTCTTACGTATCTCTAGTCATTACAGTCATTTAGATTGCAAATATTGGAAATTTCTTCGTGGAATATCACCTCAGGACATTTGTGTTGAAAGCAAATGCAACTACCTACTTGTCTTCGATTGGTGCTGCAGGTGCCACTTTGCAGCATCTACAGTAAAATATCTAATGATTGTTTTTGTGGGATATATTTGTTCACATGGTCTGCTTGAAACCTTCAATCAGTATAAATTCTAACCATCTCCATCTCCATACACCCCATTGTCGTTCACGAACTTCCCACATATGGCATCCAAACTCTCCACAGGCACACACAAACACCATGCTCAGTGCACCCTCCTGAATTGACTTCAATTGACTATGATTGACTTGCCCAACCCACTTTTCCCTTCCTGTTGCAGTGCTACACGAGTGCCGACAGCAGCGACGATCTGCAGGATAAGGCGCGGCGCACGCTCAAATCCGTGCTGCAGATGTGCGTCTACATGCCGGCTCTGGACCCGCTGCTGCACGAGGCGCCGCCCAACATACTCAAATACGTCGTCGGACAGTACAGCAAGGTAAGGTGCTGCGGTTTGGAGAGATGACAGCGGTGCCGCTAGATCTGTGGTGTGGTGCCAGCTTTTAAGGTTAGATCCAACCTTACATTCGCTCAACTAGAACTAGACCAACAACAGGCGTTGGGTTGCTTTCATCAGGTTCAAATGCAAGCCATGAAGTCGTGATGGTCATAGCAGCTCCTGTGCTGTATAAAGATCGCTGGCTATTTTTGAACGCTTTTAGTTATTCTGCTGCGAATAAACCACAAGCTGTTAATGTCAATACCGTAATTCCTAGCGGCATCTGAAACAATATTTTATTTATTAGCTTCAGGAGCTCTTTTTAACTCTGACTCTTGCAGCAGTGGTCTAAATTCTTGTCGTCGAAGGAACGCTTCAAAATTAATAACGGCGAAGCGAGTCAATTATACAGACAGTACGTCCATTAATTTACGTAATTCTGGCGTATTACGCCCGGCCTGTAATGTTTTGCGCGGTACTGCACTCCGTGAATAGCTGCACGGCGCGACCGTATTCCGCGCTCGTCAGTGACCTGATCCCGGTGATATATTCGCTTCTCCGGCCAGCCCGGGCGCTGCTGACGTCATTGGGAGACACACAAGTAGTCCAATCGCGCCTAATGGTGCGTGGCGGGTGTGCCGCAGTGGGTCTACTATGTCGGGTACACGTTTAGCACGGGGCTAGTTTCTGGGAAGGGACCCGCTTCTCCTGTCTGCGTTTTGGTCGCTATTGATGTAGTTTGGTTTTCGCGTTTGGTCTCGTTTCGTGTCCATTCGGACGCGCATACAGAGGCGCTTGTCCGCATTTTGGTTGCATTTGCAGCATGCTTACTTCTGAGATATATTTGATTCTAACGCAGATTATTGACATCCATTCGTGCTTCCCAGAACTGTCCACTTCTCGCCTTATAAAGGGTAAAAGGAGCTACGCTATAAGCTGTCGATTTTGTGAAGGCGGCCGTTTTTGTGATCGGTTCGGCCGTCTTTTTCTCCATCCCACCGCGGCTATGACTGGCGATGCGGAGTGGATAGACGTGCCCAGCTCCAGCCGCGGTCGGCTTGGTCCCGTGGTCAGCCTCGTGACCGCCTCCTCTGTCAGTTCTGAGAGGCAGAAGCCGTACGGCAGTCGGGGCACGCGCAAACACTCGGGACACGAGGCCCTCGACCCCTCCACACTCGTATGTGGGGAGGCTGACATGGCTTCGGCAAGGGTGTAAGAGGGCGGTAATGTTGTGCGATGGCGCATTTTTATGCACTTGTATTGATGCATATGCACGTTGCTTGCCATGGTTTGAGTACAATAACCGGGTATCATTTAAGGTCGGCATAATATTTTTACTACGGATTCCAGATTGCGGCAGTTGCAGTGTTGACTCGAACGAAGTTAACTTTTCATCGCTCGAGGGGCATTGGTTTTGTTTTCTCTCGGCAACCAGACAAGTGAAATCAAACGATCTCGGAAATTACCGTCGGGAACATCCCTGTTTGCAAGCTCAGTTCACTCTGCACGATTTATTTCCGGATTGAAATACACACCACCCATACCTCAGCGTCGGATGGCCGGGAGTTTTTTTTTCCAGCAATATGTGACATTTGCAGGGGCGAATGACCTCTGGTGACCTTCGGTTTGGCCGGTGGCGGACAGCTCCGTGGGGTGGGCGGTACCTACCCTGTTGCTGGTGGCGTGTCTGTGGCCCATTGTGGGTCTGATGGTGGGGTGATGGCTGATCTGTTAGCTGCAGGAAACTCGGAGTCGGGTGACAAGGGGAGTCAGGGAGCATGAGTCATCGTTTGATACCATACCGCCATGGTGCATTGAGACAGGAAACCGTCACATGGCACGGTTACCTACATATATTGCAAAGTGCATGACAACGGGAGAGTTGCACTCTGCAACGACAGAATTCCGATATAGCTAGGCCTGGGTCCACACTCCACAGGACGCAGTGCAAGGCCCGCCGCCATGCACCAGTGCCGTTCCAGCATTGTTGATGCCAATTAGCCTTTCTGTGGGACGGCTGTGGCTTGATATCGCCGCTTTAGGACTGACAAAACCCGGAACTAGGCGATAAAGATAAGAGTTTTATGGCATCACAAAACAGGGGTGTTGATTAAACTAACGAAACCGTAATAATGGTGACCGGAAAAGACAACAGAAGGGAAAGTCCTTTGTTATACGTTTTTCTCATAAGCTATCGCTGTTAGAAATGGAATATCTACCTATGCTTGACAAAACTTACGTAAGGTATAATTTTCATTTATTTCTGCTGATACCTTTTAAGCACATTGTATAACATTGCTAACGGCAATGCGCACGCCATTTTAGCTTACACAATCAAATTATGCGAGCCACGCAGGCTCATTGTGAATCCCCTTCTCTCTGGATCAGCCAGAATACCCGCTGTCTGCGACAATCACCATTACTCGTCGTAGCTCCGCCGCCCCGCATTGTGCGTCAGTCCGCTGTTTATCTGTTCGTCCTATTCAGCGTCTCTCTTACGTCTAGCTGTGACGCGGGAGAGGACAGAGTGACGCACGTCCCACGGACGAACTGACCCTAGCGGCCCGTCACGAGGCCGCGTGACTCAGACCGTGGCACCCGCATCAGTCGACCCGCGTCACGAGCCGGCCGTCACCGTGACGGTGCCGTGAGGGCCGCCCGTCACGGCGGTCAGCTGAGCCGTCACGGTGGTCAGCTGATCGTCACGGCGGTCAGCTGATCGTCACGGCACCGGGCCGCCCTTGTCAGGTAGTCGGGTGCCCTTGATGGTGGCTGGTTTCTGAGGTATCTGTTAGTGTTTGTTTGTGTACATTGTTGCTGATATGGTAGGTACTTACCGGTGCCGACAGGCAGGCAACATACTTATCGGTATTCTGCGAACGATAACTCAGTGCCCACACTTTCCGACAACATACAATTCAGTGCGTTGGCAATATGCTGCGTTGTTTTCTTGATAAGGACTATTTTTATCAAGACTGGCATGCAGTGTAAAAGGAATCTAGCATGGTGCGGGTCCATAACTGTCTATTCAAGTCCAGTCAGCGCGCTTTGAATAAAACTCAGTTCATATGCATCCACTTGAAGTGGGTGCTGGGTAGCCGTCAACATACCAGGCTAACTCATACTTAGCGAATGACGTCACAACCACGAATAGCGCCGAAATCGTCCGTCATAACAGCCATGACTCAGTTCACCTGTGGGTGCCGAGTCCTATTAATAGACTGCTTAGTAGTGAGCCAGTACTTGACACGCGTCTGTATTTTTTTTTTATGTGATACAGAATACAGATCACGATATTTTCTTTAACTAACACCCTATGATAACTGATTTTGGCTTCCTATCAACGTCGTTTTATGTATCGGGACCTAAACCACGTTAGTATAACCACGTATTACCACGTCAGTTAGTATAACCACGTTAGTATAGCACCGAGTCGATCGGCGTACCAACCCTAAGATTGCATGAAAAAAGCGTGGTATGATTTCACCACAATATCCCATACTTCGAACCAAAGTCTCCATTTCAGGAAGCGTATATGAATAGCAACGGATAGCAAAGATAAAATCCTACTTGATGATTTCGGTCGCACGCTTTTTCAAGGAAGTATATTTTCCAGGTACGTCTAATATGTTCCGTTATAAGTATTTATAACTTCAACCAAAACCGTCTTAGTTTGTACTTTTTATGCGCGTCAGTTCGATTAATTGTTTACTTGGTCAGTGACCCATGACATTATTTTCTTATTCGTGTAAATTTCTTTTATTGGTCAATAGCCAACCCTATCCTTTTATAGTACTTAACGAACAACGAACTTCTGAACGTGTGCTGCCCTCTTATATTTCCTATGGCGCAGGTGGCATTTTATAGCCATTCGGTATGACGCTTGTCGTGCATTTTCCTCTCACGAGTTTCCGTGTCGTTTCTCCAGGTGGTACCTTTTCCGCCATAACTCTCTCCCTGTAGCAAAGTGACCAGCTGATCGCTGCAATAGTTGACCGGCCTCATGTGCAGCTAGGTACAATGTTAACTGTGCAGCAAACGTCATAATGAGCCAGTGATAATTATTGATGCATTCGACGCTTTTCAGGAAGACACATATGAAAAGCCTCACAACCAATGCCCACAGTCCGACCTTGGGTTTTGCCGTTCGCCAATGAACCGTTCTGCTCTGGTTTATTTCATGCACCGGCGATTTTGACGATCCATGATGCGCCCGACGTAAGTCGAGGCCGAGGACGTCGGATTAGTTGCGGTCGTCGCGGCGACATAGCGGTCGATACACACCGGTAGACACAGCTCACCGCTGCCGGTGGCCTCGACCGCTGAGCTCGGCTTCATTCCGGGACCCCGGCGGCGCCCGTGGCAGCTCCCTGGAATGGCCTGACAGCTCGCTGGAACGGTCGAGACAGCTCGCTGCGGCCCATATTGGGGCTATATGGTTCGCACTGATGGCTGGTGACGGAAATTCGCTGCAGTCCTGAGCTTGGTGTCGGAGTCAGGCGCAGTTCTATGCTTAGACCGTGCCAGCGTATGGGAGCGAGCGACTGAGGTAACATTCCGGCTAGATTGCGTCGACATGGAATGTAATAACATGATGGACTGTCCCGGCACATTTCAGCGTCATTTTCAGAAAATGGGACCAAAGCGGCCTCCCGTGTGGCGTCAGGTTTTTAATCAGCGGTGGAAGCGCTATTCAAGCTATTTTTGGAATTATGCTTCAGTACTAAAACTGTGCGTCGTCCGGCCATATTCCGTTAAAATATAGCACGCGTCGGCTACATATCGCAGCACTGCGAGTAGCATCGCCAACGAGGTGCCCTCCGGTCGCACGAAATCACAGCACGTCATAACGGAGCCATTAGCGGCGGCTCTACCGGCGGCCGCTCCACTCGAGTCGAATCCGAGCCGGACCCATTAGAGCGCCGATACAGAGCCGGCGGCGCAGAACCGACAGCTCTATATCGGTCTGCCTCCGGCTTCACGGGTCAATGACCTGACCTTGGTGCCGCTGAGCTGGCTGAGCCCGC